TTTGCCTTGAGCGATTCAAGAGAGGCAAACTGACCACCAGACTTAAGCGATTTAAGAGCTGGCAAGACGAAACTCCTGAGCGATTCAAGAGCCTAGTAGAATCAAGAATAGACAGAAAAATTAAAGCAAAAGCAGTAAAATAATCAACAGATAAGTAAATAATATTACAGAAAAGTATTGGGGGGAAAATTCCCCAGGAATTAAAACCCAAATGGAACGAAACGAGGAATTGGAAATTACTAGTGAGTGAGAGCCCCCAATGTAGGTAAATTGGTGTGAAGTGCTTTGAAGTATGGGATCTGAATAAGTGACCTAGACCAACCTTAAAGAGCACATTAGTTTAAATCTTTCGTTGAAGATTCATAAGGTGTAGAGAAATAGAATCTTCCATCAATGATCTATAAAGAGAATTAAAGTATAATATCATGTTTAGTCTATTTTAATAAAAAAAATCTGACCTTGAAGATCTCTAAAGGTCACAGATGTGTGATGAATAACAGGAGAGTGATACAGGCCCAATGGGTATTTTGTATAGCAGTAGTGAAAGTATTGTGTTTGGTGCAGGTGTACCGAGGGGAAGGAGAGAAGGCCTACCATGCCGGGGACTGGGACGGTGTCATTGAATACTTTGAGAGGGCACTTCAAGAATATTACCTGGAGGATGAGCGTTGCCGTGCCGACTGTGAGGGCCAGTATGAACATGAAAGGGATCCAGACTTCATACATGCTGTGGCAGGTGTGTGGAATCAATATGTATAACTTGTGATGGATTGAAGTTCGTTAGTCCTCATGACTTTAAAACTTTATTGTAATTTACAACTATCATTTTCTCATTCACTGTTACTGTATTGCAAATTTATTGTGTACATTTGGTGTGTGAAGTTCATTATCATGTTTAGGATTCTAAAATTTTACATGGACCCTACTTTAAACCACAGACCATGTATATTACTTAATATAATGGCCATGACGTACATCATATTTTGTGTCCAGAAGGCTTAATAATAGGTCTTAGACCGGAACTCAGATCAGTAATCAGCTGCATTAGATTTGTTTATATGGAAGAAGGGATTACATTCCAAAAATCGTTGAAGAAACGTTATGGAGTATATAAACATATACAATGTCATTGTCATTGATGAGTTACCGGTTCTGTTTACAGATCACTATATCTCCGTACTTCAGTGTCAGGTAGGGTGTGTCGATGTCCTCAGCAAGATTTACGTCCAACAGCAGCCAAACTACTTTGCTGAGCATTTCCACTACTTACAGTACGCCTACTACAAGAGTACGTCACTACAATATGATTCAGTGTCACAAATGGTTTCTCAGCTTTTGTTTTCTTCCCTATTTATACTGTAATAAATTTGCATATTGGAATTCAAAAAATTAAGTATAGTTTTCTATCTATTGATATTATGATTGATAATTGGAGATATATATATACTTTTGTTAAAATTAGAAGGATCATAAAACATTATAAACCAAGTTCATGAATAATTTAATCTGAAATAAGTCTTTCCGGATATTTATCACATGAAGGTTACCCCGAAAAGAAACACGATTGTTAGCCTTTAATCGTTGTTAATTAGCATAAGACTTTATTTTGTTTCAGAACAATACAATGATCGAGCAGTGGAAGCCACAGGAACATATCTCTTGTTTATACCAGACAACGAAGACATGCAGGCTAACAGGAGGTACTATATACAGAATCTTGGCTATCACGAAGCACATTTCACCCCTAGAAAGGTATTTATATCATTGTTTCTTATTACGCAATCTTGGTAGTTTGTCCTTTCTCAAGACTCAAATACAAACTAGACTTTATTAACCTGGTTAACTGGATCTTTGATCGCCAATGATAAGTTATTTTCCAGAAGGAAGCACTGGAGTATTTTTAGGATAATAATATACTGCTTCACATGTTGCTCAGTGCTGTGTGTTAGAGTTACCTCCCTTCAGAATTTAAAATTGTTGTACAATGTACAAAGAATGATTTGAGTGTTTGTAAATATCGGTAGTATCATTTGTTATACAAATACATCTTCAGTTCTATAAATTCTTACCATTGACAAGTATTTTACAGGGCTTTTAGTGGGAACTCTTTTTAAAAGAAGGTAAATATTTCACAACAGGGTATGGTCGCTTCTATCATTAAAAGACAATTCCTGATTCGCTACTAGCACTCTACTATACCGATTGTTTGTCACTGATCTGCACAGAATTTTATAACCTGATTATTTTTTTAAATCTGTGTTTAGATGATTGAAGGATTTACTGTATCTGAAGAATGTTTACCCATAACACTGTTTATTGTTGCGTATCACAGGAAGCCTTACAATACTACAAAAGACAGCAAATGATGGAAAAAATGTTAGAGTTTGTCAACGTCAAATATTTCACAGAGATGTATGATGATGAGGATGACGATATTGACATGGAAAAAGGCGATGACCAAATGGCTGAAGAAGATGTAAGAATCGTCCATCAGTTGAATTTTTTCGAGCCATTTTATTAGAGAATTACTTCACAGGTGTTATTTGTAATTTAACCAGTAAAGCAATGTAGCGAGACTTTAAAATATGCCACTTTGGCCTGAGTAATGATCAAGCTAACCAGTTGTCAGTATAATGTGACTGGGTGGAGTACTGTGTGGTGTAGTGCTGAGTGCCTTCAGCATAGTAATTTCATTGAGGTAGCACTCTAAATTCGACATCAGATCTGCGCTATTGCATGGAGGCATAAACATAAAAATACTGCCTCTGGCACATGCGCATACATTTCACACATGACGCATATCGTTAAATGACCATAGCTGTTAAAAGAAGTCTAAACCCAACCAACCGTTCAAGGTACAGACTCTGAACAAGGAATGACTGTACAATGTATACAATATATTTTAAAATAATCTAACCATGTTATTGTTTTTAAAAGTGCTTTCTCCTTCTTTAATTTGTTCCTATATTATGGTAACAGAAAATCAGACATAGACAAGTGATATTTTCACCATTCTCTGCCTTGTGATAAGTTAATTATTAAGCTGTTCATTACATTAGACCGATGTGTTAAGATCTGTCGCCACTGTCTGCCTGCAATGCCCCTGACTTAAACATAGGGACAGGGTATGATAATATAAGCTATGATGTATTTCTACAGCTGATGAATGAGGTTGAGAAAAATAAAAAGAACGATCCTAAGCTGGACGGGCAGGAATTCTACATGAAAATCTTCGAGAAAATTGGCATGAAGATTCTCGCGGGTAAAGAAGATCTCAAGGGATCAAGATTTTTAGCGAAGGGCTTCACTCGAGAGGGCCAGTGTATAGAGCTGATGTACATGATAAGTGTAAGTAATGTGATAGCTACCAAAACAGATCTCAGAAATATATTAAATGTTAACTAATACAGATGATGTACATGATAAGTGTAAGAGCTACCAAAACAGATCTTAGAAATATATTAAATGTTAACTCAAACAGCTGATGTACATGATAAGTGTGAGTGGTGTGAGAGCTACCAAAACAGATCGCAGAAATATTTTCAAAGATAATTTATGTTAACTGTATTTTTTAGCTCACCTGGTCTGAAGGACCATGGTGAGCTTATGCCATACCGCAGCGTCCTTCGTCCGTCCGTCCGTCAACTTTTCCTTTAAAACTCTACTTATCCTGAATGACCAAGTAGATTTTGACTAAATTTGGTCTGGAGCATCCTTAGGCCAATTTTGTATAAATAATGGGTGTGGCCCCCCTGGGGGCAGAGGGTTGTAGCCCAATAGGGGAAATAGAGGTAAAACATTTTAAATCCTTCTTCTATGGTAGGGATTAAGGGATTTTATCCTAATTTAGTCTGGAACATCCTTGGGCAAAGGGGACTCAATTTTGCATAAAAGGTGGGTGTGGCCCCCTGGGGGTAGAGGGATGGGGCCCTATAGGGGAAATAGAGGTAGAACCTTTAAAATCCTTCTTCTACCAGAGGGATTAAGGTATTTTATCATAATTTAGTCTGGAGTATCCTTGGGCCAAGGGGACCCAATTTTGTATAAACAGTAGATGTGGCTCTCCTGAGTATGAAGCACCCTTGGGTGAATTGGAGCCAATTTTGTGTAAACGGTGGGTCTGACCCCCTGGGGGCAGAGAGGCGGGGCTCGATAAGGGATATAAAGGAAAAGCTTTATTATCCTTTTTCTTCTGTTGGGATTTTGACCAAACTTCTTGAACAGTAGCATCCTATGGGGAAGGGAAATCAATTTTGTATAAATGGTAGATCTGACCCCCCCCCCCC